GGGACCAATCTTGAAAATGTTCAGATGGGTAATCCTTCCTCAGATGAATAATCCCTCTGACCACAGCAGAGTGATTAACAACAATGCAGATTAAGGTTTTAGGATCGGGCCCATGCCCTGATGCTTAGTTTCTCACCCAAAGTTTAGTGGATGACAGTCCCTCTTCTTTTGTTAGATGTGCCCACATGCAGTTCTCAATAATTTCATTTGATTACGTAGCTAATATGCCCTGATCCTGTCAGCACTCCCTGCAAAGCCTAACAAGCTGAAGTAAACAATTCCAGCTGAGTTAGAAGACTTGGCAGGATTGGGCCCTTTAATAGCACTTGTGAGCTCTATCTGATTTGTGATCAGAATGTCTTTGATATTAACAGTCTCATGTTTCATTTAGAAATAATCTAAATTTAAAAAGCTAGCAGAAAATTTGTGAATATATGAGCTGGTATAGCTAACCAGATCTAAAGAAGGAGAAATTGCTATTTAAAAACAAAAGTCACGTGAATTTTTTTTTTTTTCCTTTGGAGCAAAACTTGCCTGCTACTTAGCTTATCTATTTAAAAATAAAATTCACATATATTTCTTATTTATTTTGAACAAAACCTGCCTGCAATTCTTTTTACATCACACAACGACTGATGGTTATGTGTGCTATGGGTCCAGGGGTTTGAAGTTCAGCAGAAGAATCCCCCTCCAGCAACCTTTCGGCCTATTCCTGCCTTTCCTCTTTTACTTGCTCGTTTCCTGGAGAATGAAGACAGTCAGGACTGATGTATTGCTGTGTCCCCCTTGCCTGCACCACACGGTGTTCATTAAAAACTTGCTGCTAGCAAGGGCCTGATCCAGCCCTCCTGGAAGTCATTGGAAAGCTGTCCATTGACGTCATGGGGACGAGGAGCATACTAATGCATGCAAGTACCTTTACTAATGCGGCCAGTCCTGTTAACAACACCGAAGTTGTTCACAGGATTAACAGCAATCAATCAAGCCCTTTGAAAGGCACATTAAAAGCCAAAGCCTGGTCTGCAAGCCCTTTCTCGCAGGAGGTGTGTGTATATACCTGTGGCTGGTCCTGCTGCATCCTTCTGCTCCCGGCCTGGCCGTGTCGGTGCCTTCTTCCAGCCGTGTTGATTTGGGGTAACATTTCTTCTGAGGAGGTAAAAATTGATGGCCGTCTACCCCCAAAATAAACGGTGCTTCTGTTCTGAAAAACAAAACAAAACAAATAAACAAACAAACAA